CATATTTAAAAACAGTCACCGTAGCAAACGCATTTAGTCATCTAGTCGGCCCCAATGTCTGCCCGGAGCCGAAGCCGCAGTCGGGAAGGGAAAGACGCGAAGAACCCGCTGCTGGAGACGAAAGGGCTGCCCCGATTTCAGTCCATCGATGTCAAGCACGTGAAGCCTGCAATGGAAGCTATCTTGAAGTCCATGCGTGAGGACTTCAAGAGCCTTGAAGCTGCTCTCCCCACTTCCAAGCCTGACTACGAGGGGGTCGTGGAATCTCTTGAGAAGCTGCGGCACCCACTTTCCTACAGCTGGGGTGTTGTCAGTCACTTGAACAATGTAAAGAACTCGGATGCCTTGCGCGAAGTCCACCAGGCAGTCCAGCCGGAGGTAGTCAAGGCTGAAATGGAGCTGTCGCAGAGCCGCGTCGTTTTCGATGCCCTGGGCAGCTTGGAGACAAGTGCTCTTCCCGAGTCGCGGCAGCGCATCGTGGAGTCTGCTCTGCGCGACATGCGACTGAGCGGAGTGGATCTCGAGGGCAGCGCAAAGGAAGAGTTCAAGACCATGCGACTGCGCCTAGCAGAACTCGGTACGAGCTTCGGGAATAATCTGCTTGATTCAACGAAGGCTTTCGAGCTTGTTCTCACAGAGCTCAGGGATGCTGAAGGCCTCCCCGCAAGTGCACTCGCGGCAGCGGCACAGTCCTACAATCAAGCACAAGCTGGAAAGAGTGAGAAGAAGACCGAGGCAACCTCAGAATCGGGACCTTGGCGGCTGACACTGGACATGCCCTCCTACCTTCCCGCCCTGAAGCACCTGAAGTCCTCTGAGCTGCGCGAGAAGCTCTACCGTGCTTTCATCTCACGCGCTTCTACCGACAAGATGGACAACGGGCCTCTCATCACGGAGATCTTGCAGTTGCGGAAGAAAGCCTCAGCTTTGCTGGGCTTCAAAGATTACGCATCCGAATCCCTCGCCAAGAAGATGGCTCCGGACCTCGAGGCGGTGCGCAAGCTGACGGGGGACTTATTTGCGGTGGCGCGGCCCGCCGCCGAGAAAGAGCTACAGGAGCTGCAGGAGTTCGCCAACAAGAGAGGCTCAGCACTAGGTTTATTGCTTCTAGCTAGCTACAGTAGCCAAAGGATTATGCAACATCCATGCCATACTAAGTGTTTTCAGTAGCAGATCGCAGGGTGATGAGTGCAGAGCACGGCCATTGAGCCATTGCATGCAGACTCAGCGCAGGCTACGACGGGAAGCTGCAGCTCTGGGATGTGGCCTACTGGACAGAGCGTCTCAAGCAGGAGAAGTATGCCTACGATGAGGAAGCTTTGAGGCCCTACTTCTCGCTTCCCAAAGTGCTGCAAGGCATGTTTGGCATTGCTTCAAAGCTGTTCGGGGTCGACATCGCTCAGGACGACGATGCAGCTGAAAGGTGGCATCCCGACGTCATGTTCTTCAAGGTCCAGGATGCCGGCAAAGACATCGCTTCCTTCTTCCTGGATCCGTACGCACGCCCCGGGGAAAAGCGAGGAGGTGCCTGGATGGATGATTGTTTGGGGCGCTCCAAGGCCGTGGGAACGAAGCCGGTGGCATACTTGAACTGCAACGGCTCGCCACCAGTGGGCACCAAGCCATCTTTGATGACGTTCTCGGAGGCTGAGACCCTGTTCCACGAGTTCGGCCACGGTCTCCAGCACATGCTGACGCATGTTGAGGATGGTGAATGTGCGGGCATCAACAACGTCGAATGGGATGCGGTGGAGCTTCCCTCGCAATTCATGGAGAACTGGCTGTACCACAAGCCGACGGTGGACTCTTTTGCGGTGCACTTCGAGACGGGAGAGCCGCTTCCTTCAGACGTCTTCGAGAAGATCAAAGGCAGCCGCATTTTCATGGCCGCTTCCATGATGCTTCGGCAGCTCCAGCTTGGCGACCTGGATATGAAGCTCCACTCTGAGTTCGATCCCGAGGGGCCAGACACCTTTTTGGAGGTGCAGAAACGAGTGGCCGCCAAGTATCAGATCCTGCCGCCATTGGAAGAAGACCGCTTCTTGTGCTCATTCAAGCACATCTTTGCTGGGGGCTATGCTGCAGGGTACTACTCCTACAAATGGGCCGAGGTTCTCTCAGCGGATGCTTTCGCTGCATTTGAGGAGGCTGGCCTTGAGGAGGAGGCCCTCCGCTCTGTTGGACGCCGCTTTCGAGACACCGTGCTGGGCTGTGGTGGCGGCAGGCATCCTAGCAAGGTCTACCGTGACTTCCGCGGTAAGGATGCGACCGTCGATGCCCTCTTGCGCCACAGCGGTCTACTCTGAGCCGTTTGGGCCGGTGCATTCCGGAGCATGCTGTGAAAGAAAGAGCTGTGCTACTGCTGGTATAGGTCTGGTATGTCTGGTAGGTTTGGGCGGTTTCGGCTTGAAGCGAAGCCCCGAGGTACGAGATCGGTGCGGCCTTGTGGTGCGGACATTGGGGCCGAGCCTGTCAACTCCTCCTCACTTCAAACAGAGGTCCTCGGAGTCTCTCGGGCCCAGTCGGAGCGGTCGTACCCGTTTGCTGTGAGGTGCCTCGGCTTTCGCAGCTGCTTCCGCCGCCTTCGCCGCGAGGGAGTACGCGCAAGGCCTGGAGATGCCCGGGCCCTGGGCCCTCCGCGAAGCCGCGAATCCGCGGACGTCGGAGTCTCTGTGAGCTCTGAGGCTTCCCACAGATATGAGCTGCAAAGGGCTCCGGGCCTTGGCAATGCACTTGCTCCTCAAAAGGTGGGGGAGCCTAAAGGCCTAAAGCTCTGGTGATGTGGTTGTCTCAGACTCGAGACGGTCAGGGATCCCTTGGAAGCGCTGCGGCGGGCAGTGCCCGCCGTGCTTTGGGGCAAACTGCTGGCGACGGCCGGCGCCTGAGTGGAGTCCAAAGGAAAAACTTACGTAATTACGACAGCCCTTTCAGCAACCACACGATCCAGGAAACCGCGGTTCAGGAAGCGACGTGATTCGGCCAGCTTCACTCCAATCTCGTCATAGCGCTTACATCTCATTCCATTGTAATTTTGTTGTTCCGTTCCCTTCATTCTTCCATCCCGGCTGTTACCTTCACGACT